CCCCGCTGGCCCTCTGGGTGTTCTCTGGGGTTACTTCCCAGAGAAATGACTTATACTCAGATCTTGTTCTCTGCGTGTCCTTCCGGAGACCCAAATGAAGGAAATACATAGGGGAGGACAAGCCAATCCAAACTGGACTTTGCTCCTCCCCACTTTTCCACAGGGAATTTCGAAAAAGGGGTCCCCTACCGGATCACAGTGACAGCAGTCTCTCCTGGGGGCTTGTACCCTGCCCCCTCAGTCTGGACGTTCAGAGAGGAACTAGGTAAGCAATGGGGCTGGAAGATGGAGGGTCTGGAACCCTGGCAGACCTTGACCCACTGGCTTTGTCCCCAGCACCTTTAGTGGGACCAGCGCTTTGGAGACTCCAGGATGCTCCCCCAGGGACCCTCACCTTAGCGTGGGGACAGGTCCCAAGGCACCAACTTCGGGGTCATCTCACCCACTACACCTTGTGTGCACAGAGTGGGACCAGGCCTTCCGTCTGCATGAATGGTGAGCTTTTCTGCCTCCTGCCCCCTGCTCCCAGACCCCACAAGGCCCACCCATCCGTTTACCTCACCCCTTGTCCTCAGATGGGCCCCTTTGGTTCCCTCTCAGTCCCTGGGAGAACACATGATGTCATCTGTTCCCTAGTGGACAATAACCCTGGTGGCTCTCTAAGTAATGGACTGTCATTTGGCCATTAAAAATAAAGACTCCAATCTATATTTATTGATATTGAAAGATGCCTGTCATATTTTATTAAGTGAAAAAGATAAAAGGATTCAAAACTCTGGGATGGTTCCATTTTTGTAAAATAAACCAGCATTGAGCAAAGCTGAGGCAGAAATGAGAAGATAAATTTCCCTCAGTGCCAACAGTATTGTAGGATTACATATGATTTTTATTTCTTTTTCATACTTTTGGGTATAGGCTAAATTTTTACTCTGTGCACCAATTCCTTCTTAAAAATATATTACCCTTTTTTTCTAATTACAAAAACTATCTGTGCTTGTTACAAAAGCTGACACACATCATCAAGAATATCAGCATTTCATCATTTCACTGATACTGACAACACAGCTTCCAGGTTTTTTATGCGTATGTTAACATACATAGGAGTTGGTGTTTTGAAGATTTTTACCATTTTATTATAGAAAATTTGAAGCACATACAAAAGTAGGGAAAAGATAACAAATCCTCGTGTATCCACCGCCCAGCTTTAGTAATTACCTCCATTTTGCCAATCTTGTTTCAATTTACAACCCCTCTCCCACACACAGACACACTTTTTTTCCTAGAGTCTTTGGTATCATTTCACTCCTAAACACATTAGTACTTCACATTTGTTCCTAAATGATAATGCCTATTTTTTAACATAATTACTTTGCCACAATTGTATCTTGCAAACATATAGATATAGATATAGATATAGATATAGATATAGATATAGATATAGATATAGATATAGATATATAGATGATATAGATATAGATAGATATAGATATAGATATAGATATATAGATATAGATATATAGAGCTTTAGGTTAAAAATTATATATATTATTAAATATACATACATGTATATTGTCATTATTATTAAAAGAGGACCATGTTATAGGCTACTAGAGGCCCAGTGCATGAAATTTGTGCATGGGTAGGGTCCCTAGGCCTGGCCAGCGATCAGGGCCGATCTGTGGGGTGACCGGTGGGGCAATCAGGGGGGCCCCCCACTGGCACCCACCTTGACCAGTCTGACACCACCTGTTTGCCAGCCCCATCCCCCACTGCCACTGCTGGTTGCCTCCCTCTGTGGGGTGACTGGCCGGGCGATTGGGGGCCCCCCCGCTGGCACCTGCCTTGGCTGGCCTGGGGCCTACAGGCTGGGGGCAGCTCCTGCTTTGAGCATCTGTCCCCTGGTGGTCAATGCGCATCATAGTGACCAGTCATTCCACTGTTCAGTTGATTTGCATATTAGGCTTTTATTATATAGGACTAGAGGCCCGGTGCATGAAATTTGTGCACTGAGTGTAGAGGCCCCTCAGCCCAGCCTGCACCCTTTCCAATCCGGGACCCCTCGGGGGATGTCTGATTGCCTGCCTGCCTGATCACCCCTAACCACTCTGCCTGCCTGCTTGCCTGATGGCCCCTAACTGCCCTCCCCTGCTGGCCTTATCACCCCTAACCACCTCTGCCTCAGCCCCCGCCACCATGGCTTTGTCCAGAAGGACTCCCAGAAGATGTCTGGTCTTATTAGCATATTACCCTTTCATTAGTATAGATAGTTTGGCCCATGAATCTTATGACTGATGTTTTGCAACTTTCTTTTTTCCACCTGATGGCTTTGTTTGGATGTCTTTCTTTGGCAGTATATCTTGGTCCCTGTTCATGTCTCCTATAATTCTATAACAAACAAGAAAGCTACTTCCCCTTTCAGCTTAAAAACAAAAAAAGAGCAATTCAGTAAAAAAGTAAACAGAAATAGCTAAGGGAGGTCCAAATGTCTACCCTGGTTCTAAGGAGACTTCCTCCACTGGGTTCTGTGTAGGTAAGGGATATGATACTCGTTTATTCTTTTGTTTATTCAAATCTATATTATTTTCTTTTTAAAAAAAATATTTTATTGATTTTTTACAGAGAGGAAGGGAGAGGGATAGAGTTAGAAACATCGATGAGAGAGAAACATCGATCAGCTGCCTCCTGCACACTCCCCACTGGGGACGTGCCCGCAACCAAGGTACATGCCCTTGACTGGAATCGAACCTGGGACCCTTGAGTTCGCAGGCCGATGCTCTATCCACTGAGGTAAACCAGTCAGGGCCTATATTATTTTCTTAGTGCTTGCTATGTGTCAGGCTGATCCATGTACTGGGATTATGGCTCTTGTGGGACTCTAACTTTCTAATGGAGGACTCACAATCATAGACAAAGTAAATAGCATCTAACCATTCTGTCAGATGGTGAGAAGTGCTGGGTTCAGTATGAAGCAGGGACGATGGGCTGTGAAGGAGGTGCAATTTCACATGTGATGGAGTGAGGGAAGGCCTCCCTGAGGAGGCAACATTTGTGCAAAGACCTGAAGGTGGGAGCTGTGTTGTGGGGGAGAATGTTGCAGGCGAAAAAGCACATACAAAGGTCCTGGGGTAGGACTTGACTGCCTTCCCACCCTTTCTGGGTTTGTCCTTCAGTGAGTGGCAGCACCCAGAAAATCACCCTGTCTGACCTTCCCTCGGGGCCCTGTGAGCTGTGGATGATGGTCTCCACCATCGCAGGACAGGGCCCACCTGGCCCCAGCCTCCGGCTTCACCTACCAGGTAGGGGCTGGGGTGGCACTGCTGTAGTAGGGGGCCTGCTTCATTTGAAGGGGATATGGAATGATTCTCTGGGATTTCATGACTGGACAACCTTTTGACTTGGGGGGTGGGGGTCGCTATTGATGATGCATTTTGATTCTGCTAAATACTGCTGTGGGTTATCAGGCAATGTGTATCTCTGACCATGTCACCCACCCCTCAACTTGACCTCTGACCGATTATTGCTCTGTTCACAAGCCCGCTCCCACCCCAAGATTTCCCTCACCCCTTGCCCCTGCTTATTTTCTGCCTCCCTCACGCAAGCCTGGCACATCAATGAGCCTTAACTGACCTCTCCCTGCTCCTGGTGTCTAACTGTTCTTCTGCCCCTCTCCCCCAGATAACACCCTAAAGTTGAAAGTTCTGCCAGGTGTCCTTTTCCTGTGGGGCTTGCTCCTGATGGGCTGTGGCGTGAGCCTAGCTAACTCTGGAAGGTGAGGCAGTCAGACATGTGGGTCTCTGCCCAGTCGGTAGGGCAGCTGGGCAACAGCTGAACTTCCAGGGTGAGGGGACACCCCACATTCCTAGACCCTGAAACCTGGGCATGGGTATTCTCTGGATTCCCTTCCCTGACTCTTACCTGCTTGCCAGGTGCCTCCACCTGTGGCACAAGATACTCCCCCGTTGGGTCTGGGAGGACATCCCCGATCCTGCCAACAGCAATTCCAGCCGGCCCCACATAGAGGTGAGCAAAAAAGACTGGCTTGTCAGGAATCTCCAGGAGGTTGGGAGATGCTGGGACAGTGGGGAGTGGGTGGGAGCACTGAGGGAAAATGGGGCTCATAATCTCAGCCTCCTCTCTTGCCAGGAGGTACCCCAGGCCCCGCCCCCTGGGGACTTGCCCACCCTGGAAGTGGAAGAGATGAAGCCGCTACCAGTTATAGAGTCCCCCCAGGCCTCCTCCCAGCTTGATTCTGGGTATGAGAAACACTTCCTGCCCACACCTGAGGAGCTGGGCCTTCTGGGCTCACGGCGCCCAGGCCCCAGGTTCTGGCCTGAAATGACCCCAAGCCAGGAGACGGGGTGCTCCTTTGACAGCTGAAGACACTGAGGCTCAGAGAGGCTGAGCCACTTGCCTAAGGATACCCAGGCAGAAAGAGCTGAGTGAGACCGAAGGACTCCTACAGAGAAGGCCTGGCCCTAGAGGGAATGTACGGATGGCTGAGGGAACAAAGGAGAATATACGAAATCCAGAGTGGCAGCCACCTCCCCAAATCTGTCCTGCTGCTGTAACAGAACTGTAACCAAGTGCACTCGCAGCCTCCCTTGCTGCTAGGTGTGGCCACGCACGGAGTTCTCACCCTTGGAATGTGAGCAGAAATGACTTGTGCCAAAGCTGGGACTGGATGGAGCTCCTCCATATTCTCTTTCCTTTTCCATGAGCTGGAAAAACATCAACATGCCCATAATTTAGCTTCAGCCAGATCCAAGAGAAAGGTGAGGACAAGAAAATGAAAGGAACTTGAGTCCCCAAGTGACTGCATGGATCAGAAATAAACTTACGTTTTTATAGTTACTGTAGCTTGAGGTCTTTTGTCACAGCAGCTGCACCTATACATTCACTGACTCATAATCTTTTGATTCTAGCCAAACGAAGCCCTCAATTTCCCACCAGGAGATGATAAGGTGGTTCTGTGCCAAAAACACACACATTCGAGCTGTCCCAATGCTTTAATATTTTATTTTCAAGTATAAAGGTTTAGCTGGAGAAGGGAGCCAGGGTCACAGGCAGTGGGCAAGGGGTCCAGAAGCCCAGGTGGCGGTGGAGGTGTGGGCCAGCAGGCTCCCAGATGCCATGGCCAGTCCCATATGCCCTGTCTGTGCCTGGGAACCCTCTGCTGGATGCCAAGAGGCCGAGGTAGCTGTGAGAAGAGCGAGGCGAGGGGTGGAGGGCATGGACTCACATCACCGCACAACACTGGCACGTCTTTTGCTTAGGGCCACTTGCCTCTTCACCCTCAGGCGGAGCAGAGGGCTCGGGCTGCTGGGCAGGTGCATAGGTGGGCACGGGGTGGGCACTGGGGTTGGCCTTCGGCTCCTCCACCGGAAGCAGTGGCTGGCACTCGGTGGGCTGCTCAGGAGCTGGGGTCTCTGCCAGGAGGGGTGTGGCATCCCCTGAGGGGTCCTGGCCCTCAGCAGGGGTTTGAGGCTTCACTGCTTCCTCCTCCAGCGGGCCTTCCTGCTTCTCCTGGGACTGCTGTGGTCCTTCCTCCTCCAGCCTTAGCTCTTCCTTGGCCCCCAGGGCAGCCCCTGCCTCACTCACCTCCTCTGCCTGACAGTCTTCTCCAATTCCAGGCTTTCTCTGCTCTTCTGGACTCACATCTTCCTTGACCTCTTGGCTCTTCTCTGCCTCCAGTGGCTCCTCACCTGCTGTTCTATCTGCCTCCAGTGACTCCTCACCTGCTGTTCTCTCTGCCTCCAAAGGCTCCTCACCTGCTGTTCTCTCTACTGTGAGTGATCCCTCACCCTCCGTCCTCTCTGTCGTCAATGGTTCTTCAGTCGCCTCTAGCTTTCCTTCCTCTCCCTTCTTCTCTGCAACCTGTGCTTCCTCAACGCCCTTCTCCTCCGCCCCGAGCGTCTCCTCACCTCGTTCCTTCTCAGGCCTCAGTGGCCCCTCAACTGCCTTGCTTTCTACTCCCAGTGGTTCCTCAACTTCCTTCTCTGCCTCCAGCTTTTCCTCACCTCCACGCTGTTCTGTTCCCAATGGCTCCTCACCTCTTTCCCTCTCTGCCCTCAAAGGTTCCTTCGTTTCCTCACTTTCTGCTGACAGTGCTTCCTCACTGCCTTCCCTCTCTGTCTCCGCCTTCCCCTCCCCTCCTCTCCTCTCTGGCTTCAAGGGCTCCTCCCTTCCTTTCTTCTCCGCCACCAGCGACACCTCTATTCCTTCCCACTCTGCCCCTGCCTTTTCCTCTGCCTTTTCCTCACTTCCTTGCTTCCATGTGCCCAGTGACTCCTCTGCCTGTCTCCTCTCCATGTCCCAGGTTTCCTCGCCTCCCAACCTCCCCACCCCCAGAGGACTCTCCTCTCCTCCCTCCTTCCCTAGTGCCCTCGGCCCTTCCAACCCTTCGACCAGCAGTTCCTCCCAGTCCTCGCTGAGGGTCACTCTCTCCACCCAAATAAAGGATCCCTCCTCTCCCCCAGAGCCCCGCTGCCTGAAGCCATCAGGGCTGCCCCTGGGGGGCCCTTCCCCTTTTCCAGACGCTGCTCCCTCTAGTCCCTCCTGGAGCCTCGGGGAGCTGGTCTGCGCCGTCTGTGGGCCCCTGCCGGCCTCCCCTGACGCCTCTGAGTCGCTGGCCTCTGTGCCTCCCACCCCTTCCCAGACCACCTCCATGACACCCCTGTCCTCCTTCACCCAGGACGGGAGCTCGGGACGGCTGGCTTCCAGCCTGTCCCCAATGGCCTCCAGCACCATCTCCTCTACCTTAGCCTCCAGCTCTGGGCCCGTGGCCCCCCTGGCACAGTCCTCTGTAGCCCTCAGCCCTTCCCATACCACCTGTACCACACCCCCTCCTTTGGCCTCACCCACGCCCCCATACACTGCTGTCACCCCCTGATTGTGCTCCTGCTCCAGAGGGGGGCTGGGTCTGGGGCAGGGGCCATTGGCTTCTGAGGAGTCCCCTGCTGCTCCAGGGACCTGCCTCAGGGCTGGCAGAACCCCAACAGCCTCATCTCTGGGCTCAGCCAGGGACTCCAAGGATGTGCCCACTGGTTCTGCTGGCAAAGAGGCTCTCTTGTTCAGATCAGTCTGACCTGGGGAAGTCAGGGGAAGGCAGAAGAGAGGGAAGGTGACAGGGTGAGATTCAGGTCACCCAGATGCAGGTCCCTCCTCTTGGGACCCCCAGACCTAGGGGCAAAAATACCCACCTTCAGTACCTGCCTCCACAGTGGGCTGGGAGAGTGGACGAGGACCCTGCAGGAATAACAGAGACAAGGTCAGGCCAGCCCATGTCTTCACTTCTGGCCTTCTGCATGCCAGTACCCCTCCCCTGCTCAAACACCCTCAATGGCTCCCCATTACCTTCAGTACCAAACCGTCTACTGCATCTCAGCCTTCCTCATCCATCTTATTGCCCTCTGCTCCAGTGCCTTGTGCACAGTAGGTGCTTAATACTGTGTCATGCAGCTAGTATTCTATATCGGGCATCTACTGTATTGACAGCTACTGAGATTGCCATAAGGGACACGTAAGCCTTTTGCTATTAGAACATACATTCCAAACACGTTTGGAGGGCAGCCCACTGTGCTGGGACCCTGGAGGGCTGAGTCCCTCCCTGAATCTGCCCCTCACTTGCTACGTAACCTTGGAAGAGACGCTGTCACCTCTGGGCCTCTGTTTTCCTGTCCGTAAAATAAGGCACTTGAGCAAGAGATGATGGGCACTTTGATGACCTTTCCTCTGGTTTCCAAGGCACCTGAGGGAGCCAGTCATCTTCCAGAGGCTTTGGCTGCTGGCGACAAATTTCCAGCTGCCCACATGGCCCTGCCCCAGCATGCTGTTCCTTCATTGTGTGGCCCGGAGCAGTCTGGCTTGCCAGTGATGTCACTGTTGGCGAGACAGTGACTTCAAGAGGCAAAAATAATACATTCCAGCCTGGCCAGCGCAGCTCAGTGGTTGAGCATCGACCTATGAACCAGAAGGTCACGGTTCGATTCCTGGTCAGGGCACATGCCTGGATTGCAGGCTGAATCCCCAGTGGACGCATGCATAAGGCAGCTAATCAATGATTCTCTCCCATCTTTGATGTTTCTATCTCTATTTCCCTCTCCCTTCCTCTCTGAAATCAATAAAAATACATTCCCATGGGAGTAGGCAGGTCATAAATACAAATAAATAAACATACAATGCCAGGGAGTGAGGACTTTGGCAGGAAAAAGAAAAGCAGGATGAGAGGTTAAGGAGTCCCTGGGAGGTGATGGGGTGCCTCCTTTACTGTAGGTATAAGATGCAGGAGGGCTTCTGGGAAGACATGACATTAAACAGAAACTTGAAAGATGAGAAGAGCTAGCCTTGAGTCAAGAGGTGGGGAAGGGCATTCCAGGCAGAGGGAACAGCAAAGGCCCTGATGCTGCAATAAGCTAGGCAAGTTCAAGGAACAGAAAAGAGGGTCAGTATGGCTGGAATGGAGTGACGAAGGAAGAGAGAGGAAGATGGGCTCAGGAGGGGAGCTGGGGACAGCCATACAGAAAGCCTGGGCCAAGCTCCGTGGATCTCCTCACAGTTCTCTGATCCTAATCTCTTTCCAGCCTCCATGCCTTTACAGCGTCTGTCCTCTGCCTGGAATTCCCTTCCCCTCCTGTCTGGCCCTCACCCAGATTCAGCATAAATGTCATTGCCTCCAGGAAGCCTTCCCTGAATCCTCAACCTCACTAAGGTGCTTCCTCTGAGCTCCCTCGTGCCAGGGCTCCCTACTCACAGACTCTTTGCACCCCATCTCCTCATCTGGACTGTGAGCTCCCTTGAGCGAGGAAGCATGCCTTGTGCATCTCTGGCAAGGAAGTTCTGGCTTATATATAAACACACACACACAAACCAAAAAAAAAAACAACAACAAAACCTAACAAGTGCTTCCCATGCTGATTAACAGATCTTCTCCTCTGTCTTATGACAGGCACTTGGGAGCTAAGGGAAGACATCAGGGAGAGGTGGAGACTATAGAAAACCCACACCTCACAGTGACCCGGCACTAATGTGGCAGGATCTTTGGACTTCAGGGTAACCCAGACCGCCAGATTTTACTGTAAAGTATCCTGGCTTTCAAAATTCTGTGTAGAGCATGTGGATTCTATCTTAATAAAGGCATTACCAAGATGAAAACAAACAAAAAAAACCCCCCAAACCTGTGTAGATGCCTCAAATTCTAAGCGCATCTCATGGTGACCTGTTCCCACCTTTGAGACTGGATTCCATGAGCACTCCTCCACATTTTCTGCCTCCTTCCTCATTCGGACCAGAAGACAAACTATATATCAAAACATTCTGTGGTGCCTGTTCACAGTGTTAAGCTGAGATATTGTGGACCCTCCCTCATACCTCTTCCGGTGTGTGCTGATATTCTCTTTTCAGAGACAGGGAAACTGAGGCTTGGATAGGAAAATGGCTTGTCCAAGAACAAAGAAGTAGAGGACCCAGCATCTAAACTGTACCTGCAACGGTTTTGCTTGGGGCCCTGTGGCCACACCCCCTCCCCAACCATTTGCTCTTCCTCACCTGTCGGCGCCAGATGGGCCTGCCAGAGGGCTTGTGCTGGGCACCTGTGGACGCACTTTGCAACAGCTGCAGCTGAGATTGGAGTCTGGAAGAAAGGGGGCTGCTGGGAGGCGAGTCCCCAGGTTCAATGGATCCCTCTCACCCCCAGTCTCAATTTGCCACCTCCTGGGAGTGGACCCAGGGTCCTGGCCTAGCCAGTCTGGGGCCAAGGCGGCAGGCAGGGATCCCACTCACGTGAACAAGCTGTCTTCCAGGTTCCGGATGCGGTCCTGCGCTTGGCCCTCGGGGGTCTGGGGGTCCTGCAAGGTGGCTTCCTCCGGTCCCTCGGGTCCCTCGGCCCCGTCCATTAGCCACCGCTCCCGAAGAGACTTCCTCTGGGCATGGAAAAGGGCTCCAGCTGGCCATATGGACTTCCCTGCCCTGTGCAGGGTCCTCCCCCCCCCCCCGGCACCCCTCCCCCCCAGGCTGGGCAGATTTCTCATAGCCCCACAATGACTCAGATGGGACAGACATTTCTCCTCAGACTGGATACATGCCCTCATTGCCGCCTCAACACTACTAGTGGGTGAGACACTCCGTTACCAGCCCATCGCTTCTCCAGGCTGCAAAAAGCACCCATCATCCTCCCGAACCCTTCCAGAATAGGACAAACTTCCCCAACGGTGAAATCAGTCTCTTCTGGCCCCTCCCTACCGCAAAGTTGGACAAGCACTTTCACTGTCCCCATTCTCTTCCCGAAGATGGCACGAGTGTCCCCTTCACCACCATCACCTATCCTCACACATAGGGAAAGACAGCCGCCCCCAAAGCTGGAACCAGTTCCCCCTACTGCACCCCCAAAATTAGACAGAGGCTCCTATGGTCCCGAGAACCGACTCTCACAGGTACCCCCACACACACACACACGCTTCCTGGCCGAGGCTGGGCAGGCGTCCCCCCTCGCCACCCACCAACCTTGAGCCGCTCCACGCGGAGTTTCTCCTCCTCCAGCTCCCCGCGCGCCGCACGGATCTCTTCCTGCAGCCGCCGCTTCTCCTGCGCACAGGGGATGGAGCTGCCCGCCGGCCGGGTGGGACCACCTCCGCCCCTTTGGCCCTCCCTCCTCCGCGGGACTCGCGGGGGCTCCCGGGGCGGCAGGGCGGCGGGGCACACGCGGGCCGGGGCGGGGAGGGGGCTGCGGAGGCGCTGACTCAGCAGCGGGAGGGCGGGGCGGGGGCGGGGCCGCCGCGCCCGGATTCTGCGGAAGCCCCGCCCCCCAGGATGGGGGTCTGTGATGGGGGCGGGGCGAACCTTGGAATGGAAACCTAGAGGGGAGACAGAGCTCTGGGGTTCCGGGATATGGAATTAAGAGAGGCGGGGTTCAGGGGTGGGGATCCAGATAAGGGGATCAAAGGAAGGGGGCTAATGAGATGAGGGTCCGGAGGAGTCGTGACGAGACAGAGGAACTGGGGAGCGGAGGGGCCTGAGGATCTAGGTGGGGCACCCCAAGCAGGGCAAAAGCTGCTTCCCCACTTCACCGCTCTAGTCCAACTTCCCGGGGTGGGAGGGAGGCATAGTCATGGGGGTTCAGCGAGACTGGGCTGTGGAGACGGTGTCCAGAGAGATGGAGGTGCAGAAGAGGGGGACAGAGAGATGGGAAAGAAATGAACATTTAGATATGGGGGTGCAGAGAGATGAGGATCCAGAGATGAGGGATGAGAGAGATGGCGGTTAGTGAGGTGCAGGTCTGAGAGATGAGGTACAGACATGGGGGTCAGAATGATGGGGGCTCAGAGAGCTGGGGTCCAGAGATATGAAAATTTCCATATGGGGGTTCAGAGATGAAAATCCAGAAATGAGGTATCAGAGAGATGAGGGTCTGAGAAATGGGGTTTACACATGGGATGTTTGGGAGATCGGGGTTCAAAAATGGAGCATCAGGTGATGCAGATTCTGGAAGTGCAGGGTTGTAGCCTCACCAATTTGAGGGTGTTGGTGACCAGACAGGGGAACTAGGGAGTGGAGGCCTGGGGATTTAGATGGGGCGTCCCAGGCAGGGCTGGAGCAGAGGGTGCTGCTCCCCAACTTCACAGTGCTAGGCCAGCTCCCCGGGATAGAAGGGAGGCAAGAAAGAAGCCTAAGACTGGAGTTATCCAGGGCGCTGGGCCAGGCTCACCCGGAGGGCGACACTTACCGCGATGACCTCTAGTCGCTGCCGGTAGAGGGAGCTCTCGGCCATGGGTCTGTGGGGAGAGGGCAGGGGCTTCGGAGGGGGTCTCCCAGGGCCCCACCATCAGCAAGCTGACCTCTTGAATGACCCTCTCTAAGCCAAGATCCCTGCGCTGCTTGGAAAACAACTAGAGCCCAGCATTTCCTCTCTTTCCCCTTTGCACGTGGGAGGAGTTGGGGCAAAGGATAGGTAGGAGTCCTGTGAGGAGGCAGGAGCAGAGACCATGACAGGTTGAGCTAAAGCCTTTCCTCACCTCTCGGAGCCTCAGTTTCCTCATCTGTAAAATGGGCCTGGATAGCTTGACCCTGACCTTGCAGAGAGATGCCCTAACAAGGAAGTATCCATGCGGGGGAAAATGTAGTACTCCAAAAACAGTAGCATAGTTTATTATTCATAATACCTTTAATAATTCCCATGATTGATAACACTTATGATGAATTATAATAACCATTTCCAGTCCATCCTACAGAAATTCTCGAATCCCTCCAGACCTCCAACATGCTGTGTCTCTTTCAGATTCCATACCCTCTCTGGACTTTGGCTCCTACCCAGGATCCCTTAAGCTCTGGGGGAGACGGCGGGGGGAGGGAGTCTGGGGAGAGAAGTGTCCATCCCACCACTGTGGACACTCACCATTGCCATGGTAACTCCAGAGCTGCCTTCTCCACCTGCCAACCCCCACCCCCAGGGGGCAAGGGTCAGCAAGTCATGCTGCTTAGCCCTGGACTCTGAGCTGAAAGGAGGGGAGGAGGATTTGCTATTTAAGGTTTAACCTGAGATACTGTCATCGTTGTCCTCCTTGCAGGATCCTGATTCACAGCCTCCCGGACCGCCCCTGGCCCCATCTGGAAACTGGGAACTGACTGTGGTCCTGCAGGGCACTTAGGAGACAGTCTTCGCTGTACCCACCTATCATCATGGACATACATTGAGCGCTAACTATGTGCAGGTGCTTCACAGGCCAGCATCTAGAAGGCTACATCTGCCTGTTGTTCTCTACACTTAGCCCAGGGCACACACAGGGCAAGCCCTCCAACATTTATTAATTTGAGCGCTAGCACTGTTGGGTGAGTGTTAGCCTCATTGCCCAAACTCAAGCAGGGCCTTCCAGATCTTCTCTGGTCACACCATGCAGCTATAATCTCGGCACATATTTAGCACTTACTATATATAGTGCTCTAAGTGCTCTGTGGGGCTTCCAATCGGCTACCACAGCCACCTCCCCCTCCCGCTCTCTGCCCTGATCTTGAGACACTGTAGTCGACTCTGCTGAGGTGATATTCCAACTGAGAATAAAATCACCCAACCATTACCCAGTGCCTACCATGTGCCAGGTGCTGTGAAATGCTTTGCCTATATAATTCATTGGGCCTTTCCGAAGATCCTAGGAGGTAAGTAGGATTCTTGTCCCCATTTTATGGATGGGGAAACTGAGGCTCTAAGAAGTGGCAAAAAGACTTGCCCAAGGTCACTCACTGAGTCAGGATTGGAACTGGAAGCTCTCAGGCCCCTAACTAGGAACCCTGGGGGAGAGAGGAGGGTCCAGGCACCCTGTCTTGGCAGGCAGGAGACCAGAGATCAGCCTGGGGGTCTGTGATTTCAGTTGGGGCAGGGGGTTGAAGTCATGGTTTGCAGGAAGGCCAGACCCTCTGCTAAATAGGTTTGCCCCTGAGGGAGGGCTGAAGTCCCCCCTCTGCTGTCCCACCCCCAAGATGTAATCTCCTGGCCTCTTCCTTGCTGGGGGGGATCAGGTTCCCGTTGCTAGGCAACCAGGTTTGTAGTTGGTGAATAATGCAATGGGAGACCCAAAAGAGTGAGGAAACCAAATTGGGGTCCCGGGGGGAGCCCATTTTCCAGAATTTTTTACAAACCTCTGAAGCCCCTTCACCCTCCTCCTTTAAAAGGCCCTCACACTTCTAATATTAACATACTGTGTACATGCATTTGATATTGTTTATCTCTAACTCTACAAGAACAGCGTTCATAGCTATGGCCTGTTGCCACCAGGAATAGTTGGTAGCCATTTCATTAAGCAGGTGATCATTCCAATTTTGCCATCATCTTTCCCAGTTTAGGAACTAGTAACTTTTTCTGTTGGATTTCAAACATTTCCTCCCACCATAGTCGCTGAGGGGTGTTCCTAGAGGCAAAAGGGAGCACTGAGGAGCCCTGTCATTCCCACCCCACCCCCACCCCAGTCGTAGCCCCACCCCCAGGCTGGACTTTGGGCTTGAAGCCTCGGAGCAGAAAATCCCCCAAAACGGGGGTGGAGGTTCACTTCTCCCACCCAGCTCTCTGGGGAGGGGGTCATCGGAGAGCCTTCGAGGTTGGCTGCTGGCCTCCCTCCACTTCCCCTGGCTGTAGGAGAGGCCATCTGGGGCTCTCACCCCAGGGGAAAGGTCAGCGTCCCCAGTGAGCCCCTCCCAGGCCCTGCCCACCTGCCCCCCTGACCCTGGACACTTACATGGGTGTGGCCGGAGACCACACCTGGCTCTGCAGGGCCATCTCTGCCCAGAAGCCCACGTTCTGGTCTCAGATGTCCAAGATCAGGACTCACTACCTGCTTGCCTGCCTGAAGGTGCCCTGGATGGAGGCTGTGACTTGGCTGGCAGGAGTGGGGGGGCTGCGGTCAGGCACCGGGAGAGCTGGTCCAGCTGGTTTGGGCTGGGAGGCGGGAGGTGCATGGGGCGAGGGGGGCTGGGGGCTGGCGGGCAGTTCTGGGGAGGTACTATCAGCTGTCCTGATAAATTATTTACCAGCTACTGGCCTCCTTGCTGCACTGGGCTGCCTCCCGGCAAACATGCTCTCACATGCCTGGTGGGGCATGTGGGCCAGAGTGGGGAGTTGCAGACCCTCCTTGGAGAATGGTGCCCCCACTTGGCGTGCCAGACGACTCAACTCCAGTCTGCCCACTATGGGTCCCTCCCATGTGAGCATCATTGCACACCATCCATGCTGGCTATTCTTGCACGCTACGTACTGCCCTCCCTTCTTGGACCCTGGCTCTGGGGTGGGGAGGGAGGGACTAATCCAGCTAGAGGATTCTGAGGTCTGTGGGAATCGGGAAACCTGGGCTCTGGGTAACGCTAGGCAACTCGCCTCAGGTTTCTAGGCCTCAGTTTCCCCTTTTGTGAAATGTGAGAATTAGATTAAGTGGCCTCGAGGGCACTGGACCCTTAGATGCTGTAACAATTAGGGGTGGGTTCGTGATGAGGAAAGGACGTTCCAGCGAACTTTCCACCTAAATCTTGAGGGTCTCTATTTGGCACCCCCATGCCATTCTTAAAGTGCCAGCAGCCCCTTTCTACTCTCCTGGCTGGTCTCCCATAGTCTCCAGCGCTTCCCCTAATTGCAGAGCCTTGGTCACACTGTGCAAGTCCAAGACATGAGCCTCAAGGAGAAAGGCCCTTGCCTGACCTCCCTGCTCTGGAGCGCACACTTCAGCGAAGACCCTCCCATGGGGCAAAGAGAAGGTGCCCCGCATCCTCACCTCCCTCTCCTGGTTCCTGTTCGGGGTACTTGGGCCGTCCAAACTCCTTGCCCCAGTGTTGTTCTTCTTTTTAAATAAGAAGGAAGGGTTTTTTTTAAAATATATTTTTTATTGATTTCAAAGAGGAAGGGAGAGAGAGAGAGAGAAAAAAAAACAACAGTGATGAGAGGGAATCATTGATCAGCTGCCTCTGCCTCCTGCACAGGATCCCCGACTGGGGATTGAGCCCGCAACCGAGGCATGTGGCCCAATGGGTATTGAACCCACGACCTTCCGGTTCACAGGTAGATGCTCAACCACTGAGCCATGCTGGCTGGACTTTTTGGTTTTTGGTGTGTTTTTTAAATCCTCACCTGAGGATATTCTTTTTCTTTTTTAAAGAAAATATATCTTTATTGATTTTAGAGAGGAAGAGAGAGAGAAACATCAATGATGAGAGAATCATTGATCGGCTGCCTCCTGCATGCCCCCTACTGGGGATTGAGCCCGCAACCCGGGCATGTGCCCTTGACCGGAATCGACCCCAGGACCCTTCAATTCGCAGGCCGACGCTCTATCCACTGAGCCAAACCAATTAGGCGAGGATACTCTTTTCTTCATTTTTAGAGAGAGAGGAAGTGAGAGGAAGAGAAACAGCGATCGGTTGCCTCCCATATGCGCTCCAGTCGGGGCTTGAACCCACACCTAGGTATGTTCCCTGACTGGGAACCAAATCCAAAACCTTTGGTGTATGGGACAACACTGAGCCACCCAGCCAGGGCTGCCGCAGTGGTCGTGAGCTCACTGAGAAAGCTTTCCGTTTCCCGAAGGCGGACCACGCAGCCAGGGTGGCCTCACCCTGCCACTTCACTGTACCCTGACCTCAGAAGTGGCCAAGAACAGCTGTGGGGATAAGCGTGAGGAAAGAGCTTGGGCATGTAGGTCAGGGTCCCAAGGCACATGCACAAGATTCCTTGCTACGCAGGGCAGAGTTGGAGGTGGGAAGCAAAGGGGGCCAGACTGAGGACTGGGGTTTCCCTGTACCCCATATTCTAGTACAAAACTCCTAGGGATTCAAAATATCCATTAAAGTGGGGGGGGGGAGGGCAATGGGGGGATAAGGACACATATATAATACCTTAATCAATAAAAAAAATTTTAAAAAAAGAAAAGAAATAGATTCCTAATCTGTTAAAGGCAAAGAAGGGATATTTTCAGTTACTTCAATATTGTCAGTGCTTTATTTTTATCTGAAAATTTAAAAGTATGATTTTGTATTGTATACAACCATTTCAAAGAGTAAAAAATAATTACCATGCATTCCTTATCCAAAAGAGACTTAGGGAATAGTTTTATTAAGAGTTATTTGTAGATGCCCTGACTGGTTTGGCTCAGTGGATAGAGCGTCGGCCTGCAGACCAAGGGTCCCAGGTTCAATTCCGGTCAAGGGCATGTACTTTGGTTGCGGGCACATCCCCAGTAGGGAGTGTGCAGGAGGCAGCTGATCGATGTTTCTCTCTCATCGATGTTTCTAACTCTATCTCTCTCCCTTCCTCTCTGTAAAAAATCAATAAAATATATATATTTTTAAAAAAAGTTATTTGTAGATTATCATAATGAATAACTCATTTTTAAAAATGTCCGTTAAACCTGGCCTTCTAGGTCATTCTAAAAGTATATTTGCCATGATATGAAGAGAGAACATATTTTTAAAATTGGTTTTTAATTGTGGTAAAATACACATAAAATTTCTCATTAGTGACATTTAGTCCATTCACAATATTGTGTAGCTTTACCACTATCTAAATTCCAGGGCTTTTTCATCACCCCAGAGGAAATCCTGCCCCCTGAGCAGCACTCCCCATTCTCTCTCCCCAGCCTCTGGCAACCACCAATCTGCTTTCTGTTTCTACGGATTTGCCTGTCCTGGAAATTTTATATCAGTGGAATCATATAACATGTGGCCTTTTGCGTCCGGCTTCTTTCACTCAGCACAATGTTGTAGTATAAATAAGTGCTTTATTCCTTTTTATGGCTGAATAATATTCCACTGTATGGATGGACCACATTTTATTTATCAATTCAGTGTTAATGGAGATATGGGTTGTTCTCACCTTTCAGAGGCAAGAATATATTTCATTTAAGTGCTTGTAGTTTGATTTTATAAATGTAATAACAACAATAATAATCATCTAAAAGGAGCCACTTTAAAATGGAGCCAGAGCTGCCACCCTAAAGGAACTGCCTTTCATGTCTTTCCTCCTCAAACCTTTGGAATGTTAAAACAGAGCAAAAGCCTTGGCTGATTTGGTTCAGCAGATTGAGCAGCGGTTTCTCAACCTGTGGGTCGCGACCCTTTGGGGGTCGAACGACCCTTTCACAGGGGTCGCCTAAGACCATCGGAAAACACATATATTATTACATATTGTTTTTGTGATTAATCACTATGCTTTAATTGTGTTCAATTTGTAACAATGAAAATACATCCTGCATATCAGATATTTACATTACGATTCATAACAGTAGCAAAATTACAGTTATGAAGTAGCAACGAAAATAATTTTATGGTTGGGGGTCACCACAACATGAGGAACTGTATTAAAGGGTCGCGGCATTAGGGAGGTTGAGAACCACAGGGATAGAGTGTCAGCCTGTGGTCTGAAGGGTCCCAGGTTTGATTTTGGTCAAGGGCACATGCCTGGGTTGCGGCTCAATCCCCAGTAGGGGGAGAGCAGAAGGCAGCCGATCAATGATTCTCTCTCATCATTGATGTTTCTGTCTCTAGCTCTCCCTTCCTCTCTGAAATCAATAAAGATATATTAAAAGAAAAAAACCAACAGGACAAAATAACCTTCAGACAGGGCCTAAAGCAACATTGTGCCTCAAGGAACTGTTTGCAAAGATAACAAGAAAGCAGATATATGACTACTGAACAAATGACTACAGGACTGAAAATTTAAAACATAGTTTGGAGCCCTAACCGGTTTGGCTCAGTGGACAGAGCGTCGGCCTGTGGACTGAAAGGTCCCAGGTTCGATTCCGGTCAAGGGCATGTACCTTGGTTGTGGACACATCCCCAGTAGGAGGTGTGCAGGAGGCAGCTGATTGATGTGTCTCTCTCATCGATGTTTCTAACTCTCTATCCCTCTCCCTTCCTCTCTGTAAAAAATCAATAAAATATATTAAAAAAACAAACAAAAAAACACAGTTTGGAATTAGTATCACTATGTCAGCTCATCTGCACCAATAGAAATGCATTCCTTTTGTTGCTAGAATTGTTCACCTTCCCTTTCTCATAAATTTCCCTTGCCTTTGTCTCCTAATCAGAACACTGGTTGGGTTTCTGTCTGAATCAGTGCTTCCCAAATACCTATTCTTTTGGATCTCAAATAAATGCTTGTTGCCTCTCACTTTGGCCTTTATTTCCAGGTTAACAATGTTATAATTTAGATGTATAGTATATAGGCTTTCCTTTGTACTCTTGTCCTGGATTCCACATTGAGGCAAGACTGTTTATAATTGTGTCTGTCTCTGAATTTCAAACTCAACGGCGAATGTGCAAGTCTGCTTTATTTCCTTATTCCCAACATTGATGTAGGTCTAGTAAGTATCATGCAATAATAATTCTTAAGCAACTGCTGTGTGTTAAGCACTGTTCTAGGCATGGGGTGTTGGGTATAGAGGTGAGCAAGACAAACCAAAAAGTAACATGGCTCACCTTCTATTGGGGGGAGATAGATAATATACAATCTATATATATAAAAGCGTAAGTGACCGAATGACTGAACGACTGAATGACTGGTCAGCTGGTCGCTATAATGCGCACTGACCACCAGGGGGTAGATGCTTAAAGCAGTAGCTGCCCCATCATGGTCAGTGCGCTCCCACTGCCAACCTCCTGCAGCCCCTCCCCCCGGCCAACCTCCCACTGCCCTGATCGGCCAATCACCAGCCAGGCCGAGGGACCCCACCCATGCACAAATTTGTGCACTGGGCCTCTAGTTAAAAAATAAATACAGTGGGGCCTTGACTTACGAGTTTAATTCGTTCCACGACGGAGCTCATAACTCAAATTACTCGTATTTCAAATCATAAAGTGAAGGAGACACGTGATGCTGGGCTGCTGTTGTGGCGCTCACTGTGACGTTCGCTGCGCCAACTAGCGGTGGGGTATCTGAAGCTGG